GCAAGATCCCAGGATGATCGGACGAAAGCAGGGGTTCCCCTGACATTGAGAGTTTACAGCGCAAGACTCTAGCTGTTGTGTCCGAGATGGGTCAAACCGGAGCGGGTCTGACGCAGGAGGAAGAGATCCAAGCAGGTTCCGCTCTCATGAGCAAGTGGGGTGCGTGTTTGGTGACAAAAGACGTGTTTTACGGTGCTAACACATTCGGAAGATCTCATCAAGAAAGATGCACCTTGGTTCTTTTGTATGAAGTCTTTGATTGGCGAGCGTCCGAACAAGAACCCAACTGGTCTGGGGAACAACAATGCAGAAATTGACATGTCGGTGTTTGGAGGGACTTACGGTGCTGATGAGTGGTCGAGTGTGGGAGTGGAAGAGCCAGAGACCGAGGACGGAGACGAGGATGCTGTCAGCGAGCACAGTTCTGACAACGACCATGATGCCGCTCCTCCCGTTGTCTCCACTAAGCGCAAGGCTATGAGCTCGTTGTCAGATGAAGACAACTCCGACGTTGTCGAGGTGACCAAGCCGTGCCCGTTGAAGAAACGCAGGCCGAGAGCAGCGCCCGTTGCCGATGTCAAGCCAGCCGATGCGAAGCCAGAGATGAAATCAGCAAACAGCAAGACAAAGGATCGATTTGCGATGATTGCAGCGGCGGAGGAAGAAACGGTGTGGCAGGCTCTGAAAGCCGCAAGAGAAAAGAATCGGATGAAGCAGGAAGTTCACCTGGCCCAGATCAACGCAAAGAAGCAGGCAAACAAGGACAAGCTCAAAGCTAAGCTCGAGTATGCCCAAATGCGCTTGGCTCACCAGCGGGAGATGGCTCAAATCCAGGCTGGATTCATGGCTGGAACTAAGCCTGCTCATCACTTCTTGCCCACCCCATCCAGTTCGGTGCCTCAGTGGCTGTCGACAAGTTCACTCTTGCTGAGCAACTACAATCCCCGTGGCGAGGGATCATCCCACTCATCTGATGTCGATCTCGAGTCACTCTATGGCAGCGAGCCCGAGCCGTCCCAGTTCATCGCTCAACCCAACCATTCCCCAGAGATGCCGTCTTCGGGCTGGGATTACCCGTTGGATGAGAATTAGGTTGTCGGTGATGTTGCTCAGTAAACTTATAGTCATATCAAAAAAAAAAACTGGTAGTCTTATCTTTCTGTCCTACTTACAAAACGTATCTAGATCTACTTACTTATCTATGTACTCGGCAAGTAGAAAGCATCATCGATATGACGCGCCCTGCTTCGTCTTTGACGGCGCCGCTCCTTGGCAGAGAAGAGCTGATTCTTGAGATGTTCTCTGAAGGACTTGCCGTTGCTGAGTCGCATGCTAGTGCTAGTGCCGTTTGCTGTCGGTACCACAAATCTACCTTCGCCAGCATCATCTGATGCGCTATCATCAACAAGACCCTCCGCAATGAACGGATCTGGGTCGTCGGAATCTGGATCCTGACCATCCCGTTGAGTCTGCTCGGAACGGAGGGCAAAGTTATGGACACCGATACAAGCAGCCACCCAGTATGTTGCCAGCTTGTGCGTTGCAGCGTCCTTGATGCGGACACGGAGATGTTTCAGTGAGTGTAAGCGGCCCTTGAGGAACCCGATTGCATGCTTGGATCGGATGCGCAGCATGGAGACATGGTTGTTAAACACCTCGTTGTCTGGTAGATCGCGTGCAGGTTTCTTATATGGAGCAGTAATCCAGGTGTCAATCTGGAAAAGCTGTCAGTCTGACTGACCGATGGATATGCTCGAAGATACTAACCGGGTATGCCGAATCAGCCCATATCCATTCACCCTCCTCCAAAAGAGACTCATGTTCCATCGCCATTCGAGTTGTTTGCCAGGCATGAGAGTCATGGGCACTTCCCGTGTGTCCATAGCTGAAGTCGATGATTTGTAAGTTGGGAAGATTAACAATCTGTAAAGGATGAGAAGATGTCATTTGAGTCGAGCATGGAAGAGCGTACCTGGATGTTCAGAGAGTAGTTGCATTTGCGATCAAAGTATCCAGGCCCATACCAATTGGGACGCTCATTGAGTGGAATCAAGGTGCCGTCAACAAAACACCAGCCTCCCTGCCATGCCTTACATGAGTGCCTCCGAACCCATCGCTTTGCCTTCGCCTTCTCCTCGGGTGTTGGCATGCGGACAGCTTCATGCATGAATGCCGGACGCAGGATGGCGATCATGACACGCCGAGTATATAGCAAGACTGTACCTTTTCCTAGACCTGCCCAATTAGCAACCGCTTGAAGACTGGCCGCATTCCCATCATGTCCAAAACGAAACAGAGCAACGGCCAGCTGCTCGTCGACAGAGCCTTGCGGCTGGTTGGACTCGTTCCAAAAGATAGGATCGTTCTCGAGCTTGGCAACGAGCTCGTTGAAAGTGGTGGGATTAACGCGCAAGGCGTCACGAAAGTGATCCGGGCGAGTCGTCTTCCAAGTGGTCAAGACATGCTTGAGTTGTCCAGGGGCTCGCGGGAGAGCAGACCGATCTCGCGGCTGCTGGTAGCGATGCTCGTACATATCCTGAATCTCTTGCATGACCGCAGCTCGCACAGTATTCCCCGCTCGCCGCGTCTCCGGCAAGGAATCGACGCTCGAGTTCTCATCATCACCATCATAAACGTCCCCAGCCCAATCCGAGTCCGAGTCCCATCCTGAATCCGACGAGCTTGAATCCGACGAGAAGTCCGAGACGGTGTGCAGACTGGGCATGTCTTCGTCTGAACCGGAGAGCTCCAAACTGCTAAATCCCGTTCCCGAAGCATCCGACATCCCACTCAAACCACTGTCGCAAAAATCTGAATTGGCATATCTGTTATGGTCAGCGCTGATAGGTAGGGCTCAGGCCTTCAGCCTGATGACTGGCTGATCTCCGTAGGAAAGGTTGAATCAGTCGTCATCAGACGGTGATCAGACGTTGATCAGGGAATGGTCAGCAACGCATCAGGTGAGTATCGGACGTCAGTCAGGCGGGAATCAGCGGTTGATCAGAAAACTACCAGGCCCTGGTTTCAGCGGTGAAGACAAAAGGAGAACAGGCTTTCTTCCTTGCTCCATCTTCACTTTTTTACATTCACGTTTGGCACTGCATTTGAACAGGGTATCGCTTCACTTTCACTTGGATATTCAATTAATTTAATTAATTAATGTGACACTGTTATTCAGCCTTAATGATAATAATTTCACTCGATTTACTTCACAGTGGGAATCGAACGCAAGAACATGAACTACTAGACCACTACAGACCACTACACTATGTAGGCGCGTGTTGCACTGTGTGCTCCAGTGCTAAGTGTCGTCGGAGACTTAACACAGCCACTTGCATCATGATGACGCAAACCAGAACGACCCTTCCACTCGCAGCTCGCAGCGTACCAGCATCTTTCTACACAGGACTGTGAAGTTCAACATATCTCTCGACATCTTCCCAACGATATTGCCATTGGAACTTTGCGGTCTGCGCATCACAACAAGCCGAGACCATATCCTCTGAGGTCCACCTTCGACGCTCAGCTGCAAGGACTCGGATACATTGGCAAGCGTTGCCATCAACGCAAACAAGCGGGCCGCCGGATGCATGTACAATGGGTATCACTCCAGCCGCCTGGCCCTGTGCGTCAGCGCTGCTGACCAAAGCGAAAGAGAAGAGAGAGAAGGCGACGTACCATGAACTCCATAACATTGATCCTGAAGTGTTCATCCAGCACGACCCAGCCAAGCGAGCACCTGCGAGTACGGTGCGTTCAGCACGAATTGCACATGGTTCTGTCCAGAATAGGCATCTGCCGATCATGACCGGCTGCACGCCCCGCGCAGCGTACTCCGGGCGGTTCTGCAGCAGTGAATGCAATGCGCGGAGCTGCATCGGAATCACGCGCTCCCTCCCCGCGAGCGGCAGCCGCGCCATCTCGCGCGTGTCGCATGAGGGGTACACGACGCGCGTGCGTACGGTCGCGGCGGGCCCGAACGGGGGTACGCGAGCACGATGTCGACGTGCCGATTCGTCCAGCCCTAGTTGACCAGCACGGCACTCACGCGGCGCAGCGTGAGCGCGTAAAGCAGCATGAACGCGTGATAGTACGCGCGCTTTGAAGAATCCGAGTGAACGTGTATTGAACACGAACAACGACCTCGTCGCCCTCTGAAGCGTCGACTTCCTGTTGAAGATCGCTCCAACCAATCTTGATTCTCACTGGGTTTTCGGTGCGCCATGGGACTACGGGGACAGTTGAGCTCTGATAGGCTGAAAAAATACAGAGAATGACGAGCTTTTCCGTAACTTCGATGTCCAACTCCGCTAATTCCTCGCCAACAAGTTTCCTGAGATGTACATGAGTGCGGAACTGTCTTTCAAGGCGAGTCCTTCGTCCACGATCGAGATTTGGGTAACTGATAGCAAAACTCAGGTCGAGAAATCCATTATCTGGTCGACACAGTTGATGCGGACATATTTTACGCTCTCTGAATGCGGTACAACATATATGTCATTGATCCGTAGCATTTCCCAAAGACATAGCCTTATTACAACTTATAATACCTGATCCCAAACTGACCAGAGGCTGACTCCCGTCTGAGCATACCTGACAAGATCTTACCGGCCTGACCACCGCCTGAGGATATGTGGTCAGGGTCTGACAACAAGCCGTCAGTTCAAATCAGCCGCATATCGGTCCGTCAGGACTGATCATAAATTAAACATTTTTGCGACAACGCCAATCCGACCCCAAGATATCCGACCACCCATCACTTGATGTTGCTGAACCCAAGTCTTCGGAGCCTGAGGAGGCCGAACTGTATGAGGAAAACTCGAAAGAGGAAAGGTCAATGTCAATCTCGAAGGTGGGCCGCACTCGAGGCTCTGCGTTGCGTGCTCTACGCATTTTCTGCTTCCGCCGTAGCTGGCGCTGGATACGGCCTCTTCGGAACAGGAAGTACGTGTTGAGCAGGGCTTTTTCGCGCCCAGTACGTCGGTTGGAACGAGGCATAGTGGAAGAAGAAGAGTTTGTATAGAAGCCAGTAAGTATGTGCTAGTACATGTTGTAGTGCTGAATCGTCGATGAATCAAGGGTATGAAGATGGCGGTCAAAGTAAGGCACGATTCGACAGCGATTTGATGGCGATTCTCGCTCCGAAATCACACCAGAATCGTACCAGAATCATCTCTGAATCGTCGTTCGAATCACGCCCGAATCGCCTACTTTGACTGCCCCTAATGATAACTTCGCATCTCCGAGTGGTCTCCCGAGCGATTCTGATCAGGTGACTGAAATCAGGTATCGTCGTCAGCCTTCGTCAGCATGATGATGTCCACGTATCCATGAGCAGATCGAACGGCAGGCACGTGATAATGTTCGATTTCTCTCAATCAATGTCATGTGCGTGGTTCAAACGAAACGAGTTGTCTGATGGCAATGTTCGAATCGAGAAGTGTATCTTTGCCCTAGTCGCTCAATTGGACCTCGTGATCCCCGCTGACGGCCGCATCCTATCTGCCCACGCACGCGCATCTTGCCGTCCCTGCTGGACACCGACGAAGCGTAGGACAAGGACAAGACCGCACACGCAGGACAAGAACGGCAGAGCAAGATCTACGAAAAAAAGTATGTCACGGGAGGATTCGCAACTCAACTCCGAACGGATCACTCACCGTTCCAATCAAATATGCTCTTGCGAATCAGCGGGCCGAGGAACCGACTAGCTTGCGCAGACAGTCCAAAAAGTCCAAAGAACTGGGCAGTGTGGTCGGCGGGGGTGGCTCAAGAGCTGCAACACGGCGGCTGAGCACGCACCATGTTCTCGAATCCCGGCGGAGTCAGCTCAGCCATCATTGTTATCGAATATGCGTTGTATGGTGTTAGAACTATCCCAATCAGGACGTTGGATACCCTATATGAAGATTGTTAGAGGCACCCAAGGCTGGAGAGTCAGGGAGAAGTTACCAGAATTCCCATGTAGTGCGGAAGCTTTTGTGAGGATTAACAGATTGTGTGACTGCCTCTAATATGAGCGGACTGACCTGACCAACGATCCTGAAGGTGGAAATCAGCAAGGGATGAGAAAGATTGATGAGAAGGGGGTACTTGCCCCACGCTGGAAGTATTGAGCTGAGCGCCAGAATTATACCAAGCTAAAATGACCGCATTTAATTGGTAAGACTATGCAGAGTGTCTAGCTTCCGGACAAACCATTGTCTTGTTTCCACTGCGCCGGTATTTCTGGATGCGCCAAAAGCCGATCGTGCCTAAAACAGCCACCAGTGCTGCTCAAATTGAAGAATCAGTCACGGACGGATTCAACGGACCACCCACTCTGGACGAATACCAAGACCTCAATAGTTCCGTATTGTTGACGCTCAATGAAGTGCCGGAACTGTCGCGACTCGACGACTTGCACAGTCGATTCGATTCCCTGACGGCTGCGTCAGTAGGCAGTACGAGGTTATCTGGCGGTATGCGCTCACATTGGTCAGCACGAAGACCGAAGCAAGATAGATGAACGTCTGAGAGAGAACCTTGCAGTCTCTGATTGCCCTCCACATCTGATGCCCCCATTCAACAAACGGTGCAAGATTGGCCATCAGACACTTACCTGTTTGATGCCCACGGTAGTACAGCTTGCATCTTGCGGAATGGCAGGGCCGGGGCGCGGTTTTTCCAGAACAACTAGTGACATATGATCGAGAGATCATCGGTCGCAGCTCGGGGACTCACACCACCAGATACCCAGGATAATCCAGTAGACAGTCGGTCTGGATAGTCTTCAGAGCTAGCATATCGGAGCTGCGAATGAGCTCACGCTATCACCAAAGTATTCATCCCATTACTGAACCAAGGGATCAAGAAGATGCAATTGAATGCAAGGTATCCGATCTTGACATGAGCCTTGTCGGATTTGAGAAATCAGACAAATGGCAAAAGAACCACAGACGCACTTGGCTGAAACTGCTGATTCTGCTCAAGTTGAGGCTTTCCTCGGCATCAAACTCAGCGGCGGATATCTCCCCGCCTGCGTATCGAGCTCGGAAGTATTGAGCCGCTGGCAAGCTTCTCGCCAGGCGCGGAAGTACAGCGCTGGCAAAGATCACTGCGCCGTAATAGGAGATCGAAATCACTACATAGATGATCAAGGTGAAACTCCAACTCGATGAGTCCGTTCGACGGAAATGAGATAGGAATCATGCAGGGATTTGAACCAAACTCACTGTCCGTCAAAGGTATGCTTGAGAGCTGGGAGAGCCAGTATGATCCAGTGAAGATGAGCAGAGCCCATCGTCCCATCTTGCCGTAATCTGCGTCAGATGTCAAGTAAGATCGTCAGCAACCTCCGACCTTGCCCCAGCGTACCAGCAGCGCTCGAGACGATCGCAACAATCGCGGCCAACACCTGTGGCACGGGAGGAGATCAACCCATCGAGTAGTCAGAAGGCGCGGTGATGAAGACGTACGACCAAAGTAGCCCCATCTGCGAGAAATAAGGCGGTGGTGATCGACACTGTCTTTTCGCCCGTCCAGACAAGCAAGCAACGCTCGGATGTAGTGCATCTCGATCCCGGACCCTCGACTGCATCGTAGCCAGCTTGGAAGGCAGCAAGGGTGAACAGCGTTCGGACGAATCCTGCTCCGATCCCCTGATATGCAATGAGCCTCGAGCGCAAAGGAGGATAGAGAGAGAGATAAGGCGTACACAGCTTCCGTTCCAGTAGACTATCGCGAATCAGCAGACGAGGGGAACCCGGCGAGCCACGCACGATAATAGCTCCACAACTCTCTCCGGGAGACCACAGAGTGTGACCGAGTCGGATCCGGGTGCTCCTCTCCTTCCCCTGCCAGTGTGGAAGAGGCATACTGCTCACAAGTAACAGCCTCTGCTTCGTCGGCGATCTCTCTCGATGGCATGGTCGTAGAAAGGAAAGAGCTGTCCCGATATCTATCACCTGTCAACCGACCTAAATACCACCAGGCCCATCTCAGTTTTAAATTTTCAGCTTGTTTCACTCATTTCAGAACACCTCCGACTGTGCAGTGTGAATCGTTGAGTTTCAACTTTCCTGCAGACACGTCACTGGCAAACTCGGAAGCGAGTTGATGGCATCAAGCCATTGTTTTCGTCACAAGCCTGAGCAAATAACGCGCTTGTGTCGTGAATTGCCCAGGCCTTTTCAGCACTGCTATGACCCGTTCCATCCAGCTTCCCGACGAGATCATCTCCGAGATAATCACGCCTGCTCTGCATCTCGACGACGGTGCATTCTCGTCAATGGAGAGATATTCGCCTTTCCTGTTCGAAGAGTCGAGTTCGGCGTATTTGCTCGTCTGCAAGAGCTGGCTTCGAGTGGCCACACCGCTGCTATACCACACCGTGGTTCTCAGGTCCATTGCGCAGGCTCAGTCCCTGGCTATCACGCTCACGTCGAATCCGGATTTGGGTCGTTTCATCAAGAAGTTGCGTGTCGAGGGTGGATTCGGTTCGTGGATGAAGACAGTGCTGGAGAACTCGAAACATCTCACCGATATATGGCTTATCATCTGCTGCTTGGAAGATTGCGAGGATGTATCGGGGCTTCGCTGCGGGTTGCGATACATCAACCCTGTCCGTCTTATCCTTTTTCACTGCTCCCGAGCATATCACGGGGATACTGCCACCCATGTATCACTCTTGGGGAGCTTCAAAACAGCACTCAAAGGCTGGAAGAGACTTGTATTATTCATGATCGGGGTCTTTGTCGTTCTCACTGACATGAAATTCCAGAACATTCTTACCCTCGATCACGATGCAATCAAACCTCACAGGCAGCGGTCGACTGATGACGAAGAAATTTTCCAGCAGCTTTGCTCTGCATCGTCTCTTCATTCGGTATACATCTTTCTATCCGGGTTGCAGGTCGTTATGAGCCCGCGGCTGATTCTCCTTGGTCGCAATCAAAGCCTCAGGAGAATCCGCTTCATCAGGCCTTCGCATCATCAGCATTTCCTGTTGACGCGATCCTTCTATGCGAAGATAGAGGCACAAGGCATGAACCACTTGTTCGACCCTGAAGACTTTGTTCAGGCGACCGAGCTCCATTCTGGGAATCCTATGTTTGTGTATCCAACACGGCTCTCATCCGATCCTATCCTGGAAGATGCCATCTGGGACAGAGTGCTTTATTTTCTCTACGACATGCTACCATTTGCCGCAGCACTGAGTGAACCGCGGCGGAAGGAGAAGCGATATCTGAACCCGCTTTTGGTCTGTAAAAAATTCGCGGTGTGTTCCTCTACTCGGTCACCCGGGCATCCTCGATCTGACTCCAGAATTCTTATAGCGTCTGTCCCTTCCTCATCTGTTCTCCCGCCCGTCGCTTCGCAGCAAGTCCATGACCGCGCAGTTTTTGGCGGGTCTTGCGGCGCACCCTTCTTGTGGCCAGCACATTGTCGATTTCACCCTTAGCGATCCGAGCCACGCTCCCTCCTTCAAGAAGCTCTTATCAATGATGCCCAATCTCATCTCTCTGAAAGGACACGACAGCGGCTGCAAATCGGTCCCGTTTCCTGGTTTCACGAGCCTCGTCCAGTCGCACGGTGCCACGCTTATCGCATTCCAAGGAATGCCTGTAGGAAAAGCCAGCGCTCCTGCGGACCCAAAGATCTTTGCATCCTGGAAACTACTGCAATCCTTGGACTGGCGCTCTCAGACAGTTTTCAGGTCGTCCAAAGTCCCGAGTAACGGACTGGCGAACCTGGTTGAATTAAGTGTGAGCGCTGAAACGCCCACCTTCCTAAAAGCCTTGTGCGCCATGGAGTGAGTTGGCCGCACCCACTACATCGCGCTGTTCCTCATCTCGATCTAGGTTGCCTGCACTGCGCATTCTACGGTGTAGTGCGGGGACACCACCCGGAAATGGCCTCGAGTTTATCGACAAACATGGCTCCAAGCTCGAGTATCTCGCGGCCTCGATCAATCAGCTGTCGGTACACGTCTTGCGTATCTTTACTGCTTGTCCGGCCATTCGCCAGCTCGGCGTCTCCTGCGACGGCAAGGTTAATTGTTTCCTCCGAGTCGACAGATCCAGGACGCTGATTTCCGTAGAACCACTTCTGGCTCGATTGGTTTCTCAAATCCAAGGGCCACAAATATCTTCAAAGGCTCGTCATCCATCTACCAGATGACTACGAGTACGGATTTGCCCACAAAGACCCCCGGCTCCTGCAGATCACATGCTCAATTGATGCGGCACGAGTTCGATTCTCACAGTGCATTTTATTTAACTGGTTGCATATATTATTGTGCGGCGTCCCTAGTTATTGTGTAGCGTTCCGGGAAGGTCTGGAAAAACTCCAAGATTTATTGTCTGATGCTTTATGGTCTAGTAGTTATGGGTGCGTATTTTTCAATTGAATGGTCTTTGGTTCAAGGCTGAGTGAGTGGATTTTTGTTCTGGGATTTGCTTCGGCTGAGCGAATCGATGTCCTCCGACATCATCAGGGCTCACTGATACCTATTATAAACATCTTTTTCTTGCTCACGGCCCCCATCTCCTAATGATGATATTCGGGCTTGGGACTTTGATGATGAAGGTGGAACTGGAGAGTGAGTCAGTCAATTTCATTCGGTTTGGACACAGTCACTTATATAATCTCATTCAAGTTCTATTTCTCCAAGGAGCGCAAAGCAAACCTTAAGCGCTGCTTCGAAGCACTTTGAATGGTATGGCACCTGGCCTGGCTAAGGCTCTGGAGCCTGCTTTATCCTTGATTGAGCAAGCAGGTGGCCACATTCACATTCACAAAGAGAAAAGGAAAAGTCAATGCATTTATAAAGATACAAATATCTATACAATGTTCATGGATTGAACATATTTATCCCGCTTGTTTGAGGTGCGCGCCACGCGGCCTGAATCGAACCCGCCGCCGATCAATGTGGCACGTGATCTGCAGGAGCCGGGGGTCTTTGTAGGCCTGTCACGAGTACGCCTCGCGGTCTCTCCGTTGCGTAGCAGGTCCTGATGCACTTTGTGCAGCATGAAACATTACGAATACTCCTCCCTGAAAGTGGATATCCTAATCGGATTGGCCCAGTCTAAACGCAGTGGTCTCTTCCCTGAATTACAAGAGTTCGAACATCCTCACATCTTTTGGCCTGCCAACGAGTAAGTTCTCTTTTCGCTCGGTCGAATCAAATCTCACACGCCAGTAGAGATGAGCGTGCGAGATTCCGAAGAGACTGGACCAGTATTGCTGGGTCACTTTCCAAAGATGACATTCACCTCGTCGGGACCGCCAGAATTAGATGGAGACCGAGGAGAGCGTTTGATTGGAATGTTTCCGACCCGTCGATTGGCCCAAAAAGAAAGAAGAAAGCCTAGCCACTATCTATGCATACTATACCTGCTTAACTTCTCAATTGCTTGCCGCTGATCTACGGAATACAAGGATATCACACGTTCTCGATAAGAAACAGACACGAGGTCTGACCATCCCCAGTGACCGTCACTGTCTTGACGCATTCCGCTCGCGCAACTCGACAAGTCCCGGGGGGAGCTCCACCGTTGGCAGCTTGAAGGAGTCGTCATGGTTCACACTTGAATTGCTCTGTGTGGTCTTTGCCAAGCCAGATAAGTAGTCATTTGCGCTGTTAGAGTTGGCATACGGAGGACAGGACTACAGCTGTTGATGAGCCCAAACCACTACGCTTTCTAACAGCTTTCCATTCTAGCCGGCTTCCGAAGGAGTTCGAGCGGGAGGTCGGAGCTGGGCTGCACACGTGGCTTCCCCTCTTGAGACATGCTGAGCGTCGCGCCAGAGTGGGGCCAGGAAATTTGAAAACGATGTGTGGTCACAGCTCCACTAGCTATCTAAGTTCCTTCGTGGCCTGCAGCAGCTCGTACAGCTGCCCCAGCTGCTCCTTCGACATCTATGTCCGGTGTCATCGTCGTCATCCTCAGCAGGCCGGCGGGTCCAGCAGTACGCACCTTATCGAACACAGTCGGATCCAGCTTCTTCCCTCGGAACCCTTCCCTCCCACCCGGACCCGTCGGTATCTCGTCCAGGTACGCTTTCCACGATACGAGAAAGCCCATGAGATGGACCGGATTTGTCACGTTTTGGTGCCGGTGGAATTCTACGGCCGTGACAGGGTGAGCGCGCGAGACTTGAGTTGGAGCGAGGCGCCGCCGGGTGCATACCGGCTTTGACGTATCCGTCTCCCATGAACCTTAGATCCTGGGGTAGATGGCGGTGGGCGCGTAGTATGCCTCGATACAGTCTGCAGAGGGGTCGAAACTGTCCGGCGGGGTGCTTGGCTCGGGCGGCTGGTGGACGCACGTAATAGGGGGTAAGAGGGTGGAGCTGACTTCTGCCAGCTTTATGGGGTGTTGGGAGATGTTCTCGGCGAGTCGAATGAGGGAGGCGCGCATGGTCACTGTCGGGATCGACACTCGGGTCGGATGAAGTGGTAAGGGTGTCACATTGACAGGCGCGACTGTGACCCGTGACACGCCTGGGGCTGCCATGACTTGGTTCGATTCCTCACAAGCGTTCTCAAGAGTCAAACGTTCCAGAGACATTGATCGTGCCACGATCTACACCAGACAGACACAGAAATATACGATTATATACGAAATATATTTTTAATGCTGGCATCCCATCGTAATGCCATTATAAGGGCCTAGAAATTCGCCCATATCAGTCCAGAAACAGCCCTAACAGAAATCGCTCTACGCACCCAAATGATTGTTGACGTTGAACTCAATGAGTATCTTGAGGTCTCCGGTAGAGCAGAGATCGCTGGTGTTGTCGTAACCTGAGCACGGGTGCCATTCGCCGGTGTCCTGCCGAATTTCAACATCAAACACAACCGTTGGCAGTAAAGAAACCGCACCTGAATGTGAATCTCGCCGGTTGGATGCTGATAGCCTACGAACCGAGGAGGGAGGACGGGGACAAAGTCCTCCATGTTGTTGATGTGCGTGATGGTGTCGCCTTGACTGGCATAGTGGGCGAAGGCAGAATTCCCCACCTGAAGCGAGCTCGTCAGATTCAAGGACGATGAGTGCCAGGAATTGACACAAACCGGGGAAGACCATAGAGAACGGACTGGAAAGTCACATTGGGAATGTGCAAGGGAAGATAGACCGATTCGAGCAAGCCAAGGGCAGCGCCTTCCGTGTCACGAAATAATCAGTTTCCACAGGGAAACAAACGCGGTGAGACATACCCAGACTATGACCGGCAATCGTCACCTTGGTGAAGCCGGACTCGGAAAGTGCAGTCTTGACAGCCGCAAGAACATCAGCCGCGGTCCTATGTACATGATAATCATTAGCTCAGGTTTGTCAACGATGAGCAACCGCGACCCGCGACCCACTTGGCGTGTTCGTCAGCGAATCCGGTATGCACTTCGATGTCGCTGGGGAGACCAGGGAAAATCGTCGGATCCAAATGACGCAAGAAGAACCGCAAGTCCGTGATCAGAGACTGGCTGCGGACGGACGGAAATCAGACCGTGGGAGAGCAGTATCACCGATCACGGAGGCTCACATATGCGCGGGGACCGTTCCTTGGTGCGAGACGATGACGGTCTGCAGGGCGGGGTCGTACCCGACATACCAGTACTGCACCGTATCGCCGTTGCCACCAGCGCCCACAGTCTTGAAGCCGGGCAGCGCATTGCAGCTAACTGATTCGAGGACGGTCAGCGCAACCGACCGCAAGGGGAACAGTCACGGGCCACGCACTTCCGCAATCCCAAGCCATCGTGACGTTCGGTGCGCAGTATCCGGCCGCGGCGTAGTGCGTGAACGGGGTGAAAGCGTCCACCTGCTGTGCCGAGAGCGCGGTGATCGTTTCGCGCGTGACGGGGGATGCATGCGCCGTGAAGAGACCGGAGAGGAAAAAGAGAGTGGCTGAAGCGGTGAAACGCATCGTGTGAGGGGGGGGCGGGGATGGAGGAGCGGGTCTGGGGAGGGTGACTCGGTCCAACGAGCCATGGCTGCACGCCGCTCGTATTTATGTTTATTCTGCAGCGGAGATTCGCTTATTGAGAGGCTGCACGCGAGCGAAGAAGCAACCTCCGCCATGGACCGCTGATCAGATCAGTGTGCGTCCATTAGGTCCGCTCAATTCTTGGTTCATGAACCGGGTTCACGAGGTTTTGATGAACCCGACAGGTCCTGACAGTTGCCATCACGCTTAACTAAAATCGGCCGATGGCCAGCAGAGACGTCTCCGTTTAAGGACAAACATGTACGATCTTACAGCGTTGGACCAAAATGATACTCGAGAGCAAGCCTAGATGTTACTTCAACTTACTTGACTCCCTGGCTGTATGAGTTTGTATTTTTTCCCAAGTAGTGATTCATTCCAATTGTGGTAGGTAGTTGAAAGAAATCCATACATATACTGAAAATGGACCCTCAAGTATCCTCAGTTATTCTCCCTGGTCCTTTCTTGACATGATAGGAACCCCATGGATAAAGTTGCGTCCTGCAATGTTCTGCCCTCTGCCCTAAAAGGGGGTTGTCTCCGTTGGCCATCAGTCTCTTTTAGTTAAGCGTGATGGCAACTGTCAGGACCTGTCGGGTTCATCAAAACCTCGTGAACCCGGTTCATGAACCAAGAATTGAGCGGACCTATTCAGACACATCCTGCTCGTGCGCCCTGACCGAGTACATCATCATCTCCGATCCGCAGCAGTCTTGCTTCACCAATTGTACGGCGGGCCCGGCTTCGTCGCCCTCGACAAGAAAGCGGTGGCGTGCCTGGATGTCGAGTGGTCGTGTGCCACCCCAAGGAAAAACCTCCAAGCGATGTGTCGTCGCCACGTTGTTGCTGGTGATCGGAGTCCATCCGCTGGGGATCAGTAGCTATCAGTAGCCAGTCCACCCAAATCCGATGACCAGACCCGGGGCCCAGCAAATAGAATTTGCCGTCGAGTCGGATGGTGACTTCCATAACGCAATACGGTGTCAGTCTTACCCAATCAATCGAAGGTGTCACACGTTGCAGTCACATCGGCATTCTTCGGACCTTTCGGACACTACGATTATCGGCACTGCAAATTCCATGATTTTCGGCAACTCGTTGGGTTGCGGTCGTCTTTTCCATGCGAGAGGGAATCAGCTGGTGCAGAGGGGCAGCTACATGCCTTCTTTGTATCTCTTGAGCTGATCCTTGCATTGAATCTGAAATGCAGTCCTGTCAGCAACTTGCTAGTCCCTCAATGTGAAGTCGACTCGAGGCTAGTCGACTTGTCGGCAACAACAAACTAAGGAAACGCTTACGTGAGTACGATAATCTTATCTTATCAGCGCGTTTCAATGGTTGACCTCTCCCCATCTGGACTGTGCAGGCCACGACACACCAGAGCTCCTTTTCTGGATGAGAACAGCTATCCAACCTCTATTGGCACCCTTCGCGGTTGTGCTCTGGGGTATCGACGTACTTGAAGCGGTGGGCGAAGGACTGGACCCTTCCACTTGACTGCCCACTCGTGCTTCTGATCCCTTCTTTCGCCCCGAGCAATCCTTTAGGCTCCATGGCCCGACTAAACTCAAGGGAGCCTTCTAGCTCTCACCCCTCTGGGTATTTCGCAAACCTCGGATCCCTGACCGACTCGACTCACGCAGGGTATCACAGAACGACCACGACTCCCCACATACCGCGCTCTGAACACGAGACTACACCCCTGCTCACGCCGATGCCGATGCGAGAGTCAGACAGTCCCCGCGAACCGGTGGTCAGTCGGAAGGAGCTGTGGAGCTACTACCGTGCGTGTGCCACCCCCCGGCGCTCGAGCCCCAGTTGAGATTCGAGGAACTCGCGGCGGCCAGTGTATTGGAACGGCGACTGCGTGAGCCGACGTCCCCGCCACCCACTCACCCGCGGTTTGTCTCGCTGAAACAGACGCATCCAGGGCCTGGGACCCGCCCTCTCGATGACGCTGTTCCAGTCCCTCGCCTTCGCGGCGGGCCACGACCCCGCGAAGGGCCCCGGCTCGTCCTGCTCGGGCTCGACGTCGGGGCAGTGTGTCCTGCCGTGGGCCGGGGGCGGCTCCAAGCCCGTCTCGAGCGTCGTCCTGATCGCCAACGGACTCAGTTTCACCGTGCGTTGACTTGCGCGCTTGCCGGGCGTCGCGCGGCTCGCAGCAGACTTACTGAACGAAAAGACAGGCCATGACCGTGATATTCACGACACTGTCCAGCGCGGCAGGCAAGTCCTTCGCGACCCCGAGTAAGTACGTGCCTAAACCGACGTGCGCAGATTACGGGAACCTCGGGCGCTGGCTGCTCCTTATCTCCACGCTCGTGTGCTGGACCGCCCAATTCGCTACCCTGTCCTTAACAAGGGAGTCCCCTCGCCGAGCATCCCCATCGGGGAGCGTGTTGTGTGTGTGTGCTTACAACTTAGGGGCTGTTATCAGGTCCGTCCCGGTGGGGCAGCGCGATGGCGCTCTACATGGCCAGCTTCGTCTCCTACGGCGCGACGCTGGTGTTCGCGAACGCGGTCTTCCCGCGCCTCGCGCGCAACACGCGCCGCTCGCGCGGCCTCCAGGAGCAGCTCGCGCGCGGGGAGATCACCCGCGAGGAGTGCGAGGTCGAGACGAGTCTCGAGAAGAACCGGATCAGCAATATCAGCATCGTCCGTGTTCCGCTGCTGCTGCATATGAGGCTTCTGGATCTGGTTTTCTGACCCCTTGTGCTGTGCAGGGACACGCCAATATCGGATATACGGTGACGCAGTGTCTGAATTTGGGGATTCTGATCGCACTGGCGGGCAATCGGCTCGTCAACAACTACACGATCGTCTTGTAGGTGATCTTCCGTGTGGATGCTGACGAGAATATTGATAGTACCTGTCTTTTATTGAAGAACGAACACGTACTGGGTTGTCTTGGGAATGTGGTGGTGTGCGTCTCAGTCTGTCCCTGAGCAAGTGTGCTGGAATTTGACCGCACCTGCCACCTCCGCGCAGTCATTTGCCAACAGTCGCGGCCCGGTCCGCCTCTTCCTCCCAAGCAGAGTTATCTGACCATAGGATGGCAGCAGGTGCGCCAGCCATAGCCCATATGCTCTCTCCCACCCTCCTGCTGACGGTACCGGTGCGCTTTCTATGTAGGTCTGGGTCACCTGCAAAGAATACCAGCAACTGCCCAACACCTTCATCTATCTATTCGCTGTCTTCCTGCTCTCCGATGTACGTACGCCCCGGCCATTTGAAACCACCTCCGCGTGCTGAAACAACATCGATATCGTGCAGGGATTGAACACGACCTGGGCCATGATCGCGATCTGCCAGAACAACCAGTTCTCGTTCAGCTTCCTGCAGAATACGTACCTCGGGCTCGCGCAGTGTACGCCTAGTCCACCCCGTTGCATGTATGCAACTGCTAAAGCTCAAGTTACCTATCAGCCGTCACGTCTGTGATCAGCACGTTCGGGTTCTGGTACATCCAGAGACACTGGAAGATCGCGACGAAGCGGATGGTCAGATTTCGCGCGCGCTGCATGGTGCTCGATGGAGTGACGCTCGGGGCAGTTTCTCGTTACGGTCGTCGTGACGGTGATGATACCGCTGTGGGGTGGGCGGATTTCCATGACTGTCATTCGCGGCAGGACTGACGACCCTCCACAGGCATGGTCGGGATCTGGACCCACTCCTTCGGGTGTGTATGTTCTCTTCGAATCTGGCTGGATGGAATCTCAATCTCCTATAGCTTTCGCAGACCCTGGGAATTCTGGTACGCCGGCCACATCGAAAGCGCCCAATGATTCAGAGTGGCGTGGCTCTGACATAACATCCGTGTATTCTAGGATGTACAACATCGTCGCGGGTCTGCTCCAGGCGCCGTACTACGCGTTCTCGACGACGATGATGGCCGAGCTAACGCCGCCGGGCTACGACAACATGGTGCGCACGCGCCCGGTGTGCGTCCATGGTGTACATACATACATACCTGAGCCGCGCACAGTTCTTCGGCCTTTTCGGGCTCTCGAACCGCGTCAGTTCGCTGATCGGGCCGAATGTCGTCCAGGCCATCATCAACGCGTCGGGGGATGACTGGATGGGTGCGTGTGTGTCATTCTATCCTCCCGCTTGCCAGGTCAGCAGAGGATGGATACTCAATTGGGGCATGCAGCGTTCCCGTTTCTGTTCTCGCTCTGCCTCGTGGCGCTTCTGATCATCTGGGTCGCTGTCGATATGAGGAAGGGGCAGAGGGATGCTGTCGCGTGGGCTGGGGGGATGCGACGCAGCAGCTGAATACCGGGAACGAAGAAGATACAAAGGACCTCGATCGGCATCTGAATCTGAACCTCCACGTCATAAATTGAACATCGATCATGTGATGGGTTGACAAATCGTTGTTCGTCCCAAGCGCATTGATATTATTACTGAGACTGCGGAGATGCACCGATAGATTAAGGGCTAGGACACCGGATCTCCACACCGTTGTACGGTCCTGAATCCCGACGGTCAGTGCCACCTCGACTGCTTGACTCCAAACGAGGCTCACCCGCATGGTCCGAGGTTTTCCCCTGCAGCAGCGTGGGGACGGCGCCTGCTGTGCACAGCTTGCTTGTGTTGTCGACTCCGGGGCAGGCGTACCACGTGCCTGAGTCCTGTGCGGCATTGGCATTAGTCGGCGCTAGGGGGGTGTTCTAAAGGGAAAGACACTTGCGTCGATGTGGATCTCGCCGGTCGGCTGGCGGTAGCCCATCCAGGATCCTATTTTTCGTGCGTCAGTATGCCCTGAGCAGGTTGAGTCGATGTGATGGGACTACCTGGCAAAACGGGGACCAGATCTTCTCTGTTGCTGACGTGGGTTACCGTGTTACTAGAGCTGACGAACGACGCAAAGGCAGCATTCCCGACCTGTGGGACACATAAGCTCGCGGTGCCGTGGAACGCGGGGACGACGACTCGCTTGTGGGAGCCCGTACAGGATCGTCTTGAAGGTCACCCCGGGGAGCTGCAGCGGGAGATACGCCGCGTCGAGCAGACTGATCGCGGCACCTGATCCGGCGCCGCGTCAGGACGGGGGAGCCGACGCATCGAGACAGGAGCCGACGCACCCAAGCTGTGGCCGACGATCGTCACCTTGGACAGCCCGGAGACAGACAGAGCGTGCTTGACAGTGGACAGGATCGTCTCCGCGGTCCTGCGCCGGGGGGCGTGAGCCGCGGCACTCGGTCCAGGACGCCGATGCTCACCTGGCTTGTGCGTTCGCGAACCCGCTGTGCACGCGGATCCCGGCGGGGATGTTCGGGAAGAGCGTGGCGTTGAGCGGCCCGAGGGCGAATGTGGCATCAGTCAGGATGGAGAGACTGCGCGGGTGTGAGTACAAGTGACGGTATGAATTGAAGCACGCCGCACATGTTGTTGCTTGTGCCTTGGTGTGCCACCACGACCGTCTGCAGCGCTGCGTCGTATCCGACGTACCAGAACTGCGTCGCGCCGCCGTCGCCGCCAGACGCAATCGGCTTGAAGCTCGGATTCGCGTCGCAGTTCGCTGTCCGCCTGGTTTGCATTCGAGATCCCAAGCAGCCCCGGAGAGACACACGCACTGCTACAGTTCCACGCGAGGGTCGTGTTCGGCGGGCAGTACGCCGCGGCCGCGTAGTACGAGTACGGCGTGAACAAGTCGATCTCGGCGTCGGTCAGCGCAGTGATGTTCGCGTCCGCGGACTGCCGCGGCGCCAGCGGGTTCGCGTTCGCAGCGAGGAGGAGGACACCGAAGGGGAGCAGCGCGGCCGCGAGACGAGAGGCCATGACCAGGAGCGGAGCAGCGCCCCTGGTCGCTGGAGATGCTCGCTCTTATACACTCCAGCTGTCCGCTGGACCGACTGCTTACCCGCGCAACCGCGGATCCCCATGTGATCGCTGTGTCGACATCGATGCCTGACGACGGACCTTCGGGCCCTTGGCGGGATCAATAAGGAAGTGTGCGCTTGGAGACAGCGTGTTCCAGGTGGGAAGAGGCTCGTTTACTTATCTAGTCCACGTCGTTGTATCATCTATTTCTTGATCGGATGATGGCCTCGCAGGAGACTTCCGGAAGATCATCACGTGAGGTGGATCCGCCTATGATGCGAGACACAATTTGACACTTTTGTTGATTTCATCTTACAGTATGGTTTTTTCTCTCATGGTGACTCACTAACTCCATGAACACTGCGAAGACATGCCGAATCTTTTTTTTTATCTAGTTGCGATCCTCACATTGATTCACACATATAGCATTCATCGCAATAGTCCTCTGAGTGCGAGACAAGATGCTCCACAGCAGAACTTGCTTCTGTCAACCCTCGGAATAAGGAATGTTTGGTACTGAATCTGTACTGGATTGGCATGACAAAAAAAGTGTTCTCGAAGCGTATACAAGCCTTTTTATGAATATTGGCTGCAATCTGCGTGCTCAAGGTCCTACATGAGTGCTGCATTCAATGGGCATTGGCTTGGCGTGGTTATAATATGGCAGAGGAATTCGGAACGTATCTGCAAACTGAGATTTGTTTCCTGGACTCTTGCACAAGAAAAGCAACGTGGCAGTGCCTGATCGTAATCATCAACGCTTAATTATTTGATTTGGAGTGGTGTGATCGGGCCGACAACACCTTGTGCCAGTGAGATTGAGCTAAAAGAGGCGAAAAGCGTCAAGGTTCCCGGGAGTGCTTCAATCCAGCACTCACAGCGTGGACATAGGGTATGTACGTTTATAGAAGACTGCGCTCCCATTTCGCTCGATTGGGCATCGGCGTGCCGGGCAGTGCGGGACTCGGCTCTCCAGCCGAAGTGCCTGAAACGGATGGTCTTAGCCCAATACGTAAGACGACGTAAGGGCAAATACGCGTCCGAAAATCTTCCGTATTGTTTTCAAACCTGCTCTCCACGAGCAAGGTTCTACTGAGACCCTGCTAAGAACAGAACTGCCGTCTACGTACGAGTGTCATAGCAATGTCCAGATCATGTCCAGCGTCGGGGACGACGTTTTCAGAATGGACGCTCTCTCGGAAATGAGACTAGGCGCAACTGAATTCTTGCTCTGCAACAAACATGACGTCTCTGAAACATCTCCAGTCCAAGTACGCAAGGGGGTGAGGCGTAAAACCGAGCATAGCGATGGCGGTGTAGACTGATGGCATCTTTGGACAGTAAATGATGTGTTGCTAACGCAGTACCGCTTCATCGTCCTTGTCTTGCCTTTTCAATCGCGCCGCCCTCAGACTCCGGCTGCCCGTCCTTCTCGACCGCGAGGAACGCCGCCGTCGCTTCTTCCCCAGAGCTCTGGAATGCTCGCTTCGCTCATTAACAACTACCGCCCCAAAGGCAAGAAGGCTGCTGCTGCTTCTTCTGCGGCGAAGCCGACCACTCCGTTTTCCCGGCGCACCGCAGATCCGGCTTCCTCCCAGCCATATGGCCCGCAGGTGTACGACATCGGCGGGGCCAAGTCCTCCTTCGAGGACGGCGACGCCGCGTCGTCGACGCGCTCGTTCGAACCCACTGCGTCCCACGTATCAGCAGCCCCCACCGAATCTGTCGTCTCACCGCGGGTGGACATCGACATTGATTTCACGCCCGCGGACTGGTTCCCATCGCACTTTCTCAAAACCGACTCCGTCGTCGGGCCAGGCGTCCTGGGCGGCAGGAGCATCGCGGACGTCTTGGCGGCCCCCCCACCCGGGACCAGCAGCAGCAGCAGCAGCAGCAGGGCGGCGGCAGCGGCAGTGGCGGACTCGTTTGATGTGGGGAACGATGATGGATTGGAAACCGAGGACGAGGATGATGATGATGATGATGTGCTGGATGCCGATGTGCTGAATCCCCAGGCGAGTTCCCCTGGCTCATTCTCCCCTTCGTTCTGCATCTCACTCTGCAGCAGCAGATGCCCGGGCTGTCAAATCGCAAGGGCGCGCCCGCCCCGATCAAAATCCCCAACGTCGCGATCCATGCACCCAAGGTCCAGATCGACCGCTCCGCCTCGACAGTCTCGCGCCCCGAATCCATGTTCTCGCTGGAAGGCGCGTCGGCGATCTCCGGCACGACACTCGCGCGCGCCCTCATCGGCGACGCGTTCGTGCTCTCGCACGACCGGTCCTCGCGCTACCGCAGCGGCGCGTCGGTCCTCACGCGCTCCGACTCCGCCACGCTCCCGCGCGGCGACTTCCTCTTCTCGCCCGGGCGCAGGAGCGGTCCGCTGAGCGGCACGTTCACGCCGCTCGATGCGGACGGCGTGGTCCCGCCCATGCCGGATCTGCCGGCCGAGGTGAAGCGCGCGATCGCGGAGTCCCGGGACCGCCTGCGCGTCGACGACGAGAGCGAGAGGAGTCCCGGTGCTGGGTTTAGGTCGGGCGCGGAGGCTCGGACTCCGGACACTGCGGTGTCTGAAACCCCCATATCGCGGATCACGGAATCCAGTTCGCCTGTGTCTCTCGACCCCCCCGCGTCTGAGAATGCAGAGTCCGAGCCGACGACGCCGTCGCGTCCTCCCCTGGTGCACGTTGGGCTGTCCCCGTCGGCGTTCCCTATTTCGCCCGGCCAGGAATCCACCGCGGCCACGTCTGAAGCGCGCTCTTCCCGTGATATCGGGGACGTGCTCGACTACTACAACTTTGATTCTAGTCCAGGAGGAGGGTCGGACCGGAGTGGTTTCGATCCGCCGAGTCCTGATTCTGGACCGCTTGAGGGCCAGCAGCTGCTAGGTCCCGCGCGCTTCCAGCCCGCGTTCTCTCCAATAACGGAGGAGGACTCGTTGTCCCAGTCCCAGCTATCCCCGGATTCGATCCGGTCGCGGATGACGGGTGCGAAGTCGCTGGCGCCCTCTCCGTCTTCCTCTCCAGCCAGTGGTGCGTTCTACTATTCAGTTGAGATATCAGGTCATCTCATTATCTTAAACAGCACGATGGCCTGGCGACGTGCGCATCCTGCCACGAACACCATCTGGGAACATGACTATGATTCCCTCCCCGCTTACGATTCCTCCCACAAATTCGCTCCGCCCATCCTCCGCAGCCATTGACGAGGATGACGAGGAACTCGATGGTGATGATGGCGACGACGGCGACGATAACGAGTTACTGCCTCCCCCGCGAGGTATTTTTGCCCGCCAACGCGCAGGCGGCGCCCCGAGCCCCATCCAAGTCGTGCGCGACTCGCGCGATCCCAATGCGTACAACATCACGGTCACGCAGCGCGCAGAGCCGTCGTCAGCCGGGTCGACGCCCGCGACGGAATACGATTTCAGTCGCCAGCAGTCGTTCCCTGAGACCCCGAGCGCGTTCAGCCCGCTGTTCAGCTCGGGCATCGACAGCGAGCAGCGGCATTCGATGATGCCTCCCTCCACGGGCACCGCGTCGGCGAATGGATTGCCGAGTCTCGCGCAGCAGGTGTTGCTTTCGAGGGCCTCGACGTCTGTGAGGGGAGGACGGCAGTCGCGCGCGAGGAATCGGAGCACCGCGATCTGGCCGAGTGCGAGTGTGAGCGCTGCGGTCAAGGACATGCTGCCTGTGTCACCGGACCAGGGGCCTCTCTGCGATGAAGAAAAGCAGCAGATGGTCGTTGTGGAGGAGGAAGTGGAGGCAGAACCAGAGCCAGAGCCAGAGCCAAAGGCGGAGACGGTCGAGGAATTGCGCACACCATCTGAACCGCCGGATTCCGCATCTGTGTATTCTGCATCGGTGCAATCCTTCCGATCTAGAGCAGCGCAGAGGTTATCGCAAGCGTCCATGCAGGCGGAGCCAGTCGAGGATCCCAAGCGCCAGAAGCCACTGCCCGCGATGCCGAATTCTCCCGTCGAGTCTGAGTTGGAGATGGATATGCCCGGGGCGACTTCCTCGACATCGCTCCGTGCAGCTTCGATTGCCGCTTCGGTCTCGGCCTCGGCCTCGCCACACACCGAGCCCCTGCCTCTCTCCCGCCGCTCGTCAACTAAATCTTCCGACGAGGCGGCGCCAGCGTTGGGCTCGCCTCCGCCGTATTCGGTGAACGACGGACACTCGACACCGGATTCCGATCAGTTCGTCACGCCGCGCCTTTCTGTGCAATCCGTCGTCGCCACCCCTGGGCCCTCCCGGCGCAGTCGGGCGCGGCCGCCTCTGCCAGTCGGTCCGCGGCGGCCGAGCACGTCTGGGCCGGCCGCCGCGGCGCTCCAAGGCCCGCGCAACCGGAATGGATCTGTATCGTCCGTTGCCAGCACGCCAGGGGGGCGCCGAGTGACGTCCACGGCGCCGCGGTTCCAGACGCCTCCGATCAAGTGGCGCGGGTACACGATGGAGGCGGCCAAGTGGACGTTCTCGTCGTCGCAGCTGCAGGACATCGTCTCGCGGGCGATCCGGCAGTCGTCCGAGGCGTCGTCGATCCGGCTGCTGAATCTGGACACGGTGGACGTGGAGATCCCCGAGGAGCTGCATCGGCTGGAGATGCAGCGGACGGATGTGAAGACGCGCTACAAGATGCTGACGCGGAAGCGCGCGGGGCTGCTTGCGTCGCTCGATGCGTCCATCGAGGTGGACGAGATTCTGCGCGTGGTCGAGAGCGTGAAGGAGATCTCGGCCGAGCTGGATCGGCTGGCGGAGGATCTGCATTCCGCCGACGAGCAGATCACGCAGCTGACGTCGCTGCGCGACGTGCACTCGTCGAGTGCGCTGGCGATGGCGCTGCGGAAGCTGAACGCGAGCTTCCTGAAGCAGATCACCGCGAGCGAGGCCCTGCGCGCGCAGATCGAGATGCTGCAGGCGGAGCGGGACGAGGCGTGGACCCAGGCGGTGGACGTCGCGCACGAGCTGGACGACCTGAGCGAGCGGATGAGTCCGGGCGGGTACACCAACAACAACAACCGCCGGTCGAGCCGTGTGCTGGCGTCGAAGAAGTCGAGCATCCGCATGTCGAAGACGGGGCTGCGCTCGCGGCGGTCGTCAGTGAGCAGCAGCGTTGGGCCTGCACTCGACGACATGGACATCCCGCCGGTCCCGCCGATACCGCGCCCGCACGAGATTCGCACCTCGGGCCTGTCGGCCGTGTCGAGCGCGAATTCCGAGACGAGGGCGCTGGACCAGGCGCAGCAAGAGCTGTACTCCATGCTGGGCATCACGGATATCCCCACGCGGAGACAGTCACATGTTGAGCAGAGCCCTGGCGGCGCGCTCAGCTCGGCGCCCAGTCGGCCGTCGTCGTTGCCTGGGACCGTGTATAATAATACTGATGATGTGAGTCGGCAGTCTTCCGACTCTAGAACCGACTGACTGACTTTTTTTGTTGTTGTTGCAGCGTAATGCTATGTTAGCCACACTGGGCCTGCTCAGTGACTAATCCATGTTGTGTGCCTATCTCACTGCTATTAAATCTGAACTATTCGCGCCTCAACACATTCATTTACGTTGATATTTATCGTTGTATTGTGTGGCTCAAGGATCAAGCTATCCCATTTGCTGTGACTGCATTGCGGGTGTCTACTCCTACGTGACGCACAACTTCCCTTCTCAGATTTAGCCCGTCGATCACGGTAAAGGGCCATGTGGCCAAGGTTGCTGTTTGTGCAGTGCATTCGAGCTGAAGCCGCTTCCTGGAATTGCTTGGCCTTGCATAACCCGATCCCTCATCTGAAAGTGCCTTCCTCCCATTTGCCATCAGCGTCGTTCGGCCACATGACTGAGAAGTATTTTCGAACGAGCGCGGGCAGATGGGCAGTTGACTGACCATGGTCTGAACGTGAACGCGTGAGCTGTCAACGTGCCTGCTCTATTTCAGAACATCGCATCCTAATATAACAAATAAGAATGCCTTCTCTATGCAGATTGGCATCCGCAGTCCTCCATGTGGCCCTGTATTTTGATGTCGTGCGTCGGAGAACAGGCAAGAAGGTGTTTGCGGACGGCCGCGTGAGCAGAATATCCCGCGTTGCCGGCTGATGAGCAATCATGCCAGCACATGAGAAACAGATTCCGGAAGCACGAACGTGGGGCCCTCCCACTGAGCAGGGGGGATCCCCCACCATAAAAGAAGGGGAACCAAGGAGACGGACGGTCGCGTTGCAGCACACCCCCGCTGGAAACCCATCCGATCCGCCCATGGTCCTCCTCCGCCAGCTCACGAGTCTGCTCACCGCCGCAGTGTTGGTCGCCGCGAGCCCGGCCCCTGTGCCGGCCGGAAGCCGGTCCGAGAAGCGCCAGGCGATCACGACGCTGTCGACCGCGCAGATCGACGCGTTCACCCCGTACAGCAACTACGCCGCCGCGGGGTACTGCGCGGCATCGGCGACGCTGACCTGGACCTGTGGGCGTGCGTGATCTGCTCTCCTGCTTATCGATGGCAGATCAGTCGGCTGATGAGATTTCCGTCACGTCACGCAGCGCTGTGTGATGCAAACCCCGGATTCCGTCCTGTCGCATCGGGCGGGGATGGGAATGGGGTGCAGTTCTGGTTTGTGGGGTACGATCCCGCTCTGCAGACGGTGATTGTGTCGTACCAGGGGACAGATCCCAGCCATATGTGCGTTGAAGTCGCCCCCGCCGCCGTACGTATCGCAGCTGACCGATGACGCTCGTTGCGCAGCCTGTCTCTCGTCGAGGACGGGGAGATCCTCCTCAAGGCCCTGGACCCGACGCTCTTCCCGGGCCTCCCGTCTGGAATCGAGGCGCACACCGGATTCGTGAACGACCATGCTGCGTGCGTTGCGCTTTCCTCTTCCCGCCCATTACAGCTCGTCTGATTCTCTTTTCTCTCGCACAGCACGGCGACCGACGTCCTCGCGGCGGTCAAGACCGCGCTGAGCACGTCCGGATTCAGCAAGGTGACGATCGTCGGGCACAGCCTCGGCGGCGCGCTGGGCCTGCTCTCGTCGGTCTACCTGCCGCTGTGGATCCCGGGCGTGACGTTCCGCGCGATCCTCTACGGCCTGCCGCGCGTCGGCAACACGGCGTTCGCGACGCAGGCGAGCATCGGCAACATCGTGACGCACATCAACAACAAGGAGGATTTGATTCCGATCCTGCCGGGGCGCTTCCTCGGCTACGCGCACCCGACGGGCGAGATACATATCCAGGACTCGGGCGCGTGGGAGGCGTGCCCCGGCATGGACAATACCAGCACGCTGTGCATCGTTGGGGATGTCCCGAATATCTTTGACGGCGACGAGGCTAACCACGATGGTGGGTTTGCTTGTCTGTTATCTCGAGCGTCTGCTGATTCGTTGCGCCAGGACCTTACAACGGGGTGGAGTTTTCGTCGACTTGCCCGACCTAAAATGAAGGACAGGGTGAATTATCTATGTGATTTGATCTATTTGACGAGGGTGTTAGCACATATGTTTCATTTGTAACGGAGTTTCATTCAACAACCCGTTGTGGGCATTGACAGAACACGGTTTTTGAGGGCCACGATCGTCTGTTTGCAGCAAGTGAGCTATTCGATTCCTGCATCAATCGGGGCTCGACAGCAGCCCTCTCCTAAGCCTCTGTCGGTAGTTGTACCCCAGAATCGTGATAGATGCGCGGGAGTCAGTTTGAACGAAAGATTGATGGAGGATTCACCTTGTCACAGCAAAAAGCAAGATCAGACGTGCATTTCGAGTGCAGACGCGAGATGCGTACAGTCTTGAGGACAGGTCGAAAGGACGCAGGCACGAGATTACGTGCAGGCGCACCCTCGAAACGTTCCCGCCGAGATCCCATGAGGCAATGTCCACGCGGCGTTGCGCTCCCACAGACGAGTGTCCCCTTCGGAAGGGGGTCAATTTTGCTTACAATCTAATCGGATCGGTGACTCAAAGAGAAGAGAGAGAGCGACAATTGAATCAGTTCAGTGGGAACGCGATCTCGTGACTCGGTGATGATCGATCAATGCTAATGACGCGACGCCGCTGAGCAAGCCAAGCTCAGGACGGTGGCGCGATCAAGAGCCGAGCAGTCGGGCCTGTTTTCCTTTTCCTTCCTCGCTTGCTCTCCCTCTGCCATGCCGAGAAACAGAAGCAGGATCGGCGCCCGCGCGCGCGTCGAATCAGACGACGCCAGTTCGCACGGCACGGCACAGCACAGCTCCACCTTGGCTCAGGCGGCGACACCCCTAGGATCGCGTCGAGAAGGAGGGCAGCCAGCCGCACGGGGAAAAACGCCGAGCTTCGCGTTCTGGATAGAACCCATCGCGAGGCCGCTACGTCACTGTGTTTTTTCCCAGCGTTTTGTCGTTGGTCGTACCCCGAGCAGACGAGAGCCTGAGGGCCCCAGCAGAACCTGCGGCGAAGCCTGGCGCAGATACACTCGTCCAGGCCGCCGCCGCTGCCGGCGCTGCCTTCTGAGATCGCACACTCGGATGCGGACCCCCCATCTAAGGGGGGGATCGATCACTTTCCCAGCCGTCCGGGCGTGGGAGGGGATTGATGTGGTGATGCGGCAATAGGGCACGCTGTTTCCGCGTTCAACCCGGAGGGAGTTATGCACGGACTGACCGAGCAGTGTCAGGTCCGAGTGGGGGCCTTCATTTCCATCTTGGAAGTCAGACTGACTGCGCTATCCAGCCCCGTGGGATTTTCTGTTGAGTGAGACTCGCTCTGAGAAGGAACAGCAAAAAAAGATGACGATGATTAAGATGAAGATGAAGAAGACTGCGAAAACTTGAAGAATGTGTCAAGCGCGTGTATGTTGACACGATACTCATCCCATCTAACATGGCGAATCGAAGAACATGCATTGGCCGGCTGGCGGGTGTCGCGCCGGATCTCATGAAACCTGGTTCCCCGCCGTGGAGCTTCGGGATATTATTCCTAAACAGACAACGAAAAAAAAAATCGATCTGCACTACACCCCGCGCCAACCCGCCGCGCGCTCCCACAGTACATCCGCCGCCAAGCCCGCCAGGATAATCTGCCCAATCATCGGCGTCTTGAGGAAAAAATTCTTGCAGTCCGCGGGCGCGTCGATGTCCGTTCCCGCGAGCGCAGCGAGGAGCAGCGCGCCCGCGACGGCCACGGCGCCGAAGAAGAGCGCCCCGTGGCCGTTCGCCGCGCCGCCGTACGTCAGCAGGCCCAGGAACGCGCATGCCGTGCCGGTGCACACGGGGATCGTCTGTGCCCCACAGAGCAGCGCCGGCGAGTGGATCCCGAGGCGCCGGTCGTCCAGTTTATCCTGCGGCCCGGGGTTTCAGCGCGGGGTTCTCCCCGAGGTGGCTTGCAATGCAGGGCTCACCTGGTGCTGGTAGATCGTCTCGTACGTGAGCGTCCAGCAGCATGCGCCGAGGTAGACTGGGATCAGCACATGCCACGCTACGCTCCCGTCGACGCTCACGTCGCTCCATCCCATGAAGACTCCGATTTTGAACATCAGCCCCTATTTAGGCTTGTCAGATAAGATGAACATGGGCTCAAAGGGGACACCTGCGAGTGGGACCGGTGCGAGATTTGTCCATCGCTAAAAGCCCATCAGAGTTGCTCTGTGCAACGGATAAAACATAGAACATAACGCACCTTGCAGGTCGGATATATGACATACAGCGGCCAGACCGTCATCGACGCGTACAACCTAGGGTCAGGTCAGATGAGTCCGGAGGAGATCGGCAACCGGAGATGCTCTCGCCTACGCACGCCGTCCGGCTCAGCACCCCGCACGCCAAAACAACGCCGAGCGAAGCCTGCAGCGCGAAGAAGGCCCACGCGCGCGCCCGGGATATCGCCCCGCGCGGCAACGCCCGGTCCCGCGTGCGCGCGACCAGCGCGTCGATGTCGTAGTCGAGGAGGTCGTCGACGGTCATGATGAGCGACTTGACGCCGAAGCACAGCGGGACGTAGAGCGCGGCACGCGCCGCGGCGTCGCGTAGCGGGAGCTCCGGCTGCGCTTTGAGGGCCATGGCGATCGACCAGGCTAAAGCGAGGCGATGCGTATCACGCGCGAGCCTGAGAATCTCGTTTTCCGAGGTTGTGGAAGAAGAAACATACCGGTCGGAAGCCAGACGACCCAGAAGCCGATGTTGTTGTTTAGTCGGCAGAGTTCCCAGCACGCTTGCAGCTCGGTGGACGTGGGACGCGCGAGGAGCCCTGCCATGATCTTGGAGGTTGCAGACATGCTGTTTTTGCCTGGCCTGCCGCCCGCCCCCATCGTTAAATATCACCCAGAGAATCAAAAGGAGCACTGGGTAGATTAGAGAGTGGCCCCGATAAACTGTGAGATTAAATCGGATCTTCTTTATCCCACAGTCATGTCGGCATATCCATTCCACCTGCGATTCGCCACGTTCACTGAGCGGCTGCTGGGTATCTGTGAGAGATGAATTACGCTAGGCGCTTAGGAGCGAGGTTCGTTTGACACCCTTCGCTGGCTGGCAGGAGCATATCACCCGGTTAGCAGCCGTCGTCTCTCTGGCAATGCAACAGTGGCGCGTGGAACAGAAACACTCAAAGCGATCGAGATTCGCGGCCGTGCTTCTCCCGTGCACGCCCCCGCACTACATGCCTCCCCCTATAAACAACGTGGGCTGGGTTCGCGATTGCACTCCAATGGAGATTCTCCCCAAACTCATCTGTGTTCTGGCCGCGACCGCGGGCCTGCACGTCGCGTCCACCTCCCCCAACCCACCCCTCAAAAACTCGGATCGGACGGTGACCCCGACCACAGTCGAATGGGTCCTCGTCTCGCCGTACATGCGGCATTCGCCGACAGTGCGTCCCCCGATTATCTCTGTGCGGCGATGTGCGGCGTGCTTGACCGAATCCGCAGATCCTGTACTGGTGCATCGCGCTTGCCGAGACGCTCTCGCTCGTGCTCCCCGCCGACATGATGCCGGCGCTGGGCGGCGACGCGCGGCGCATCAGCGCGAGCGCGTCCGCACCGATGGTGCTGGGGATGCTGCTCATCGCGAGCGGCGCGCTGATCCGGCTCGCGTGCTACCGCGCGCTGGGGCGCCACTTCACGTTCGAGACGGGCATCCTCAAGAACCACGAGCTGGTCACCGCGGGCCCGTACGCGGTCGTGCGCCACCCGTCGTACGCCGGCGCGCTGCTCGTCTATGCGGGGCTCGTGCTGTACTTCAGCAGCCCCGGGACGTGGGCCGTCGAGTGCGTGTACCGGGGGAGCGTCCCCGGCAGGATGCTCGGGCTCGGCTACATGTCGCTCATGTCCGTCATCGTCTCCGGCCTCGCGGGCCGCATGGCAAAGGAGGATGCGGCGCTCAAAGCGCAGTTCGGCGCACAGTGGCTGGCGTGGGCGGACCGCTGCCCCTACGCGTTGATTCCTGGCGTGTATTAGATCGAGTAGAGACCTCGAACACACACACTTTGATCATCAGACGCGACCAGGGCAGAGAGCTAACTCGTGCATCATCTTGAGCAGCGGGAAACACGATGCGAAAGTGCACAAGTGCCTGTCGACTGAACAGCTGCAGTGGGCCCGGGCGGGCCAAGATAACCGCGTAATCGGGTATCCCACCGGATAAACGGCATGTTTTCATTCGACAAGAGCAGCAGCAGCCGAAGCTGACACGAAAAGAGAAAGGTTCCGCAGGGCCTAAGAAGTCTGGCCAGACCCTCCATCAAGCAAGTCTCTGAGCACGTCCCCAGAACGCGACGGTTGAAGGGCCTCTATGGAATCAGATTCAGACAATGAACGGGTACCAAGGCAGGCGGGGACTATACACACCAACCGTTTGGGGGCGGCACACCCTAGAAAATCCAGGCACACATCGAACTTCTGCTACAGCCCAAAATCAGATTTCTACCAACACCATCAGGTCACCTGCGACGTTCCGATCGCCCAACAGCTTCGATACCCCTCGGAGGAGGCCAGACCTGGTCCTAGCTAACGAGCGTAGCAACGGTCCTCGAACGGCCGAAAGCGTGGAAAAGCGTCGTGAGTCCTTCTCAGGTGTGTGGCTGGGTGTAACCCCTCTCGTACTCTGGCGGGCATACCTGAGGCGCGAGGATTCTTCGGGCTGGGTGCACTCTGCTGGACACTGTGTAGAAAGGCTGACCGCCAACCAGAATGCCAGCTTCCAGCCAGGAAGTGTTACGGGAATTGTAAGTAGTGAATGACAAAGACTGCCGTGATTTCGTAAATCCGCCTACATAAGTTAGAGTTTACCCTCCTGACTTGACTTTTACACTTGTAACTCAAACTTGATTCAGACACATGATGTCCTCCCGGGTCAATCATCTGCATCGCAGGCGTCTAGCCCAGGCTCTGCTTGATGCTACTTACCATCATCGATGTGCGTAACACTTCCGGTGCCCGTCAGCCACACATGGTCAACAATGTTGCTTCCCGTTCGCCACATGGTCCCCCCCATCGTCGAGATAAGCAGGACGTCGGACTGAATAGCTAGTAGAAGAAATCATAAAGAGAGGATCTATCGACGACGATCTCCTCGAGGTTCTCACCCCGAAACGATGCTGCTGCTCCCGGCCTCGCTCCTCGTTCTTCTGGCCGCCCCGGCTACTATGGCGGTTCCCACCAGCACGGAGCGCCTGAATGCGCGGATGGCCCGCCGCGGGCTGCCGCCCGTGTCGACCCACGCGCGACCCATCCTTGCCGACGTCCCCAGCATTCACGGCCCCAGGCTGGACGCGCGCACGCCCTCGAAGACTCCAAACACAACTTACAGCCACAACTGGGCCGGCGTAGTCGTCGAGGCGGCGAACGTAAGTCGCCCGCCGCATATCTCTGACTTGGAGCGCTTACCGTCGGCGCGCGCAGGGCACGTTCCAGAGCGTGTCTGGGAGCTTCATCGTGCCGAACCTCGCTGACGGACCCGCGAAGACGGACAACTCGGCGTCGTCTGCGTGGGTCGGAATCGACGGGACCATCTGCGAGACGGCCATCCTGCAGACCGGCATCGACTTCTACTGGAGCCCGTACTTCCCGAACCACGTCGACATGTACCGTGCGTGTTCTTCTCTCTCTCTCCGCGCGCGCGCGCTCCGAACACGGTCTGATGTGCGCCGCAGCCTGGTACGAGTACTGGCCGGGCTTCGAGGCGGACTGGTACGACGTGACCGTCAACATCGGCGACGCCGTGACCGTGAACGCGACCGTCACATCCGCCTCGTCCGGCACCGTCAGCCTCGTCAACCACTCGCAGGGCTGGGTGCGCACCCAGGACCTGATCGCGCCGCCGGATTCGCCGCTGTGCCAGAGCGGCGCCGAGTGGATCGTCGAGGCCGTGGGCAGCGACCTCGGGCTCGTCGCCTTCGCGAACTTCGACGTCGTGCACTTCACCGACGCCACGGCGTTCACGGCCGCCGGCGGGGTCGTGGGCCCGGGCAGTGCGACGTCGATCTATGAGATAAGGCAGGATTCGGGTCTGCTGCTCACGGAGACGTCGTACAACGCCCACTCGGCCCGGATTCAGTACGTCGGCGACCGAAACATCACGATTCCGAATGGTCCCGGGGTTCTGCCTGGGCAATAGTATGATCTGCTGTCAGCAACGCGAGTAACTGCCTCACAAAGCTTGTGTTCGAGTTTCCAGACGCTCCTAGCAGCTCGCTGGTTCGTCGAGAACTGGGTTTCGAGCTCTGAGAGGCGTTCCTCCACAATGAGCAGCGGTGTCCGGTTCTTCTGCGAGCCTATACCGTAATCTAAAGCCTTGTTCTCGTGGACATACCCACAATTTCAAATGCCTGCGGGGCTGGTTCTACCCACCCACTGGGTTGTCAGCGGCGAAGAAGAGCCAATCCGTAAAATCACAGAGCCAAAAGAGATATCCACGCCGCAGCCGTCGACCGTGATTTACGTTAGGCCTTCAGCACTGGCAGACATTGCTTCTCACTATGATCTTTGCAGTCCAAATTCATGTGTCGTTGCTTGCCAAGGTCTGAATGGAAGATTTGCGCCATATAGACGGTGGATTCGATGAGAGCAGGAATAATGCCCGTGACTCTTTTCATTGCCGGTGTTGACGCAATCCCAACCGGGGTCCGGTAACGTGATAGCCGAATGATTGGTCCGTGCACGTATTAAATGTACTTTTGCCCTCTGTAGTTGTCTGCGGCTCGAATTCTACGCTCAAAAGGGGAGAGTACGTGTGAAGTATACAGCTTTAGGTCGAAAGTGTCCCGGAAGTCCGACTCGGGCCCAATACCGAGCAGAGAGATAGACGGTCAAGGAACCGCAGCGCCTGCACTAGTTCTCATTCTCCTTGGAGAAAACCAAGGAGCTCGCCGAAGCTTTCTGGACGGTTTCACATGCGCTGGATCGGCTTCTGAGCGTTTCGAGCAAGCATACACTTTCTCGAATTAGGGTCGGTTCTGGCTACACCCTCCGATGGTAGCAGAGAACGATCCTCGGTCCTGGCGATCGGATTCTGGAGTTTTACTAGCACTGTTCTTGGCCTTGCCAATTGTACGATCATCGGCTTCTTCAATGTAGACGTTTAGCGAGCATATTATTCCATCGCAGGACTGACCTCGACAGTATCAGAGCAACCGGGCACCGAATCGGTCACTTCAACTTAACCTGTCTTTGTTTGTCGATCTCGGGAAGGTCTCGGAGATTAGGCAACTGTAAGCCGAGATTTCACTCCAGCGTACTTGAGATACGACAGCGATCTCGAATGTGTGTGATTTGGAGAGATGCTCCCACGAGTAAACTCCACCCGCGCTAGTTTAGCGAGAATCAGACGGATAAATTTAGTTCTATACTGAGTGTCCGAGATAGGCCTATACCGGTGCCTTGACAGGTATAGCCAGTTTGTTCTAGCAATGTGTGAGAGGAGAGGAAACGATCAAACTCGGAATGACGATAGAGCCCTGAGCGCCGTGCAATTGATAACCGCTCGGTTATTAACCGATCAGTTGGCAATCCTTGCAACTTAGACGGACTGGGCTAGAGAGTTCAAGCTCCAACCTTGGAGCGTTGTAGCTAGCAGAGATTTCATCAGGGTTACAGTGTAATCCAGCAGAGCGGTCTCTATCCTAAGAATTGAGCTGACGGCAGAAATATAAGCTCATCTTACTAGTCGGCCATGCGATTGCGTGCGTTGTGTTAAATCTGACACGGGGTCAAATATCCAGTGTTCTCGACGACTTTGACGATATGATGGCCGAAGTGGCCAATGAGACTCCTCGTTATGCCTGATGTAGATTGGTAGATATATGCATATATACTATACACACCACGTCAGGTAGTGCTCTCTCGTGCGGCAAAGATCGAGCTCTGGCGAGGTTTCGACTGAGTGCTCCGTTCTGGCGTTGTCTCCGACAACGACAGCAGGGAAACCTCAGTCAATGAATACCCACGCCAGTGTACGAATCATGATCCCGCTGACCAAGCACATTCGCTCCTGGTCCCATGCTCCCTGCGGCAATTGCTTCCGCTGCCGTGTCTCAATCCCAGAGCGCGACTGCCTCCGAGCCATAGAATTCCCAAGCACACATCGACAAATCACAATCACCCTCATTGCACGCAAGGATGAACATGCAACGCATTGAACCTTGCGTCTGGACAGGCATCCGCTGATCCTGCCCGGCGATCCGGCCTTCAATAGCTGCCCATACTCTCGCAATCTAACGTCCTCTACCGCCGGCAGACGCATCGCGCCGTCCGAGGTGTTATGCGAGTCGGAATGCACTGCCGACAACCGGCAGTGGCAGGCTGTGGTTGCAGCTGCGACTGCGACTGCTACTCGTGGTGTGTTGCCAAAGACGATGCGCTCGTAGAAACCGTCGCAGTGGCACCGCTATTGGACGGATCAGAGTGCGAATGCCTGTGACTGGCATGGGGGACCGTTTGCATGGTGCGAGGATGAAGGCCGGCTGATGCTGCTGCCGGTACTGATACCATGTCTCCGGCAATGTGTAATATACCGTCCTTGGATCTGACCATTTGGGGGGATATCGAGGCCGTTCAGCTCTTCGACCAGTCTCGCATGCACTCCCGCGAACGACGGATTGTCCGTGAAACGCTACCAGGGCGAATCCGATAACGTGCGCCAGGAACTTTGTTGGTTTAGCGTTTGTTGTCAACGTATGCATCCTTCTGCCGTGAATCGACAGCTCGTCCTTCTTGACTTGGGATGATGTGAAGATGTCGGTCGTTATCATCGCCAGTGTCGTTTCGCGATTCTTTGAACAGATGCGGCACCAGTTTTGTCGGCCGCTGGGTTCGACGCACAAGAGATGTTCACAGGATCGTTCGGGCGGTTGGAGATGACATGTGCGAAGAAAGATCGATGAACGCAGAGAAGCGCTGAATACGCCGATGAGACAGACACACATAGGGCCTGAGACTCAGAGAATGCGGCAAAACGTCGATGCATTGTCTCCATCCAGGGACTCGTCGTCCTAGACCAGGGACTGCTCGCCGTCCTGCGCTAACTCGCCATCCACGTAGGACAGTATGCATATCAGCAGCAGACACGGAGCCAGGCCTAAGAACCACAATGAACACCGACACGGAGCAAGCACAAGAAAGCCGACTCACCGGGCAACGACCGGCGACGCACAGCTCCCAGACAAACAGCGCATCATGTATGGACCTCTGGGTGCTCCGAAATCCGATCTGGCGCAGCCACGGTCTGGAAAGAGAAACAACATGTTAGGCAGCCTTATGCCCGTTTCGCAGCCAGTCCAGAGATAGCCAAGGTGCTCTCGACACGACGCTGCAGTGAGCGTAAAAGAGTACGCTGGATCTCTGAGCAACCCGCGTTTGTGTCTGTTTTCGCCGCATTCGGATCGTGGGCTGCAGGGATTGGTGTTCGCACGTCAGTCAGTCCATGGAAGCACAGGATAACATGGAGCAAAGCGAGGTCGCGGACAGTGCCAATAGGCACTTGAATCCCCTTGTGTCGACTGTTTTGGCGCATCATGGGGTCCAGTCGAATTGACGTGGCGGCAGTGTCGGATATCCACGGGGCTTGCCTCAGGAGAACAAGTGCTTATTCCAAAGATTGACTTGTCCACGATGTCGCTGCTGTCGAGTCGCATCGGAAACTCGTGACGAGTGTCTCACGTGGTCTGACACCCTGCGTTTCTCGAAGCCATCCGAAGGATTCCGAACGACATGCGTTTGCAAACAATCAGTTTCGATTCGATGCGATCTGCATCACTCACAGGATGGGCGCGCACTGTATTCATGGCGAAGAACGACCGTCTATCTGTTGTTGCTGTAGAGCGTGCGTGCACCGTGCACCATGGGGAGAGCCATCTCGGCCAGGGTTAGGAAGATCAAAGCTCTCGACTGCCTGGCAAGACATCGCATTGGCTATGGCAGTGCGCCTTGGAGAAGAGCTGCAACAGATGGGACGATCGCATCGCAGCGCATGCGACCAAGTCCAACGGGCCTGTCCGAGTCTACTCTCTCTCCTGCTTCCCAGGACCGGCGCCGTCTTCCCAGTGCTTGATGCCATCCGTCAATCTCCTAGAAGCGCCGATGGACTGCCATACCCTGGGATGCGCCGCCGGCCAATCTGCGTGCTGTCCAAGCTTGCGTTGGCTTCCTTGGGCGCCAGTGTGTGAATCTGCAACTCTGGCGTTGCGTGCTCGGGGGCTGTGAGCCGTGGCATTGTTCCAGCAAGGCAGTGTGTATGGAGAAATGCTACTTGAGCAAGGGGGGCACACCAGTTTGCCGCCTGCCTTTGACCATGTCGCAAGCTGATGAACAACAGACTGACAAACGAAATGAAGATGAAGAACGTCTCGAGCGCGAGAGGGCCAGCGGGAACAAACTCTGGGGGGTCTACATCTCCGAGGCGGAGAAGTACGATCAGGGTCTCATCGATGGCTGGCGCAGCGACATGGATGGTCTGCTTATCTTCGTGCGTCTCCGATCGTTCTCGATTGTGGTCATCCTCTGAGCTTGACTCGTCAGGCCGGTCTCTTCTCAGGAGTCGTCACCACATTCATCATTGACAGCTACAAGACGCTCAACCCCGACTCAGGGAGCCAGACCGTCGCACTCCTCAACCAGATCTCGCTCCAGCTCGCGCACATGAACAACGGGACTGCAATGGCGGACGCACTCCCTCCCACCGCTCCATTCTCACCCCCGATCTCAGCCCTCGTCTGCAATGCATTCTGGTTCACCAGCCTCGCGCTGAGCTTGTCAAGCGCCCTTGTCGCGACTCTGGTCAAGCAGTGGACGCAGGAGTACCAGCACCGGACATCGATGTTCTCGTCTCCCTCTATCCGCGCGCGTGTGTACATGTATCTGTACTATGGCTTACGACGCTTCAATATGCATGCTGTTGTCGGTGTCCCCCCGCTTCTCTTGCACGCGTCACTGGTCCTATTCCTTGTAGGTCTGGTCGCATTTCTAGTCCCCATCAACATCATCATCATGGGCATGACATCCGCTATGCTGTGCCTCTTTGTTGCGGTCTACGGAACGTTCTCAGCCCTCCCACTATTCTTCCTCGACTGTCCGTACCAGACGCCACTCACGCAAATCCTCTGGTCGCTTAATCAGAGCTTGGGAAGCATGCTGAGGGCTTATATTTGGAGCGCAGCGGCTGTTTGCAAAGCCGTCTTTCAAAAGAGAACTGCTGTGACAGACCTCGAGAAACCTGCGGGATCTCCTGTGGCGAACGACGATGCCTCTGCCAAGTCTCCTGCACCTCCCGACTCTCGTCCGCAGTTGCGGAGTATGGTGGATGCCTTGAAATCAGCAGCACTGCATCCCCCTGTTGAGACCGAAACCCGGGCACTCGCGTGGACCGTCCGGTCTCTGTCTGACGATGAGGAGCTCGAGAAACTTGTCGAGGGGCTTCCCCAGACGCTGTGGGATTTTGATCGAAACAGGCCTCGTAGTGTGTATCAGGCACTGTTCCAGTCTCTGTTGCGTGATCCGCACGTCCATCTTGGCCAGCGTCTCGCTGACTTCATGGCTGGCTCCAACAGCAATCTGCTCGAGCACAAGGACCGCCTTCGCCGCCAGCTGTCCGTGCTCCGGGCCATCTGGGCTGTCTGCGCGTTCTCTCTTCACACGGGGTCGCCTCTCCAACGTCCAATCGGAGAAGCGGATGTTGACAACGCGCTGCTCGGCTCAAAATTCATCGATTCTGATGACGGGCAGAGCATGCTCCCCGACGTGTCCGCTCTGATCCATCTGAACATCATCGAGTCTTGGAGCAGCAAACGGGCTCTCACACAGCCGAGCAGCTCCGACGTTGATATTCGTGCCGAAGCGCAGAAGCGACGGCAACAAGACATGCATCGCGCGTATGTGGATTATCTACTGGCACTTTCCAAATGCGCTGCCAGCTTCCAGCGGGATACGACCAATCTGCTCTTCCATCGGTCACAAATGCGCTTCACGGATGCGTATGGCTACTTGACTCTGCAGGACGCTCTCGAACAGCTGATTTCAGCTGATTTGGAGAAGGCAGTGGACAATATCGAACACGCGTCGGACAAAGCAGAAGACAATGTTGTCTTTGCTGCTCGCCTGATGATTGCTCCGTTTGCCCAGGTATCTGAATATCCATGGGGACGATACCACTCCGGTCTAGGGCTGTTTCTTGCTCGACATCCGTCACTGGCTGCCTCCAATCCGGAATTCAACTCGACCCATCATTACACCCGGGTCCTGTGCTACTGGCTATGCGACCAAATGACATTCGGATCAAATCTCCAGCCGTGTGTTGACGCCCTGCAGCTGATTTATCGGCGCTTGCTTCAGTCTTATCTGCCACCAAGAGACTTGGACACCCATCTTCGGGTCCTCCGCACTCTGCGGACTGCAGCAGACGACATCCCCACGCACCGTTTGGCTGCCATCGTTCAGAGCGTCGTGCTCAAAAGTCTCTGGCTGCATTCATCGGAGTGGGAGCAATTGCCAAGTATCTTCGGCGACGAGGCCTGGTTCCGCTCCGTGCTCAGCCTTGACAACGATAAGCGGACGGGGCGGCGATTAGCACGGCAAGTTTACGACTGTGCATATGTGGGCGTTGTGACCACCTTCTTCGAGCAGTGTACGGCCCAGAATCAGCATCAAACGGAACAGGACCTAGACTGGGCGACGCTCAAATCGATACCCTACGCAGTCGAGGACATTTCTTCCGTGATCCCGACTGCACTGCAACGACGATTCGCTGACACTGTGTCTGAATTCATGCGCAAATATCCAGAGAACTGTCTTGCAGATGATGACGGACTCTGCTCGGTGCTTCTCTGGGCCGTCCATGAGTACGACTCGTACGACGGGTGGATGACCAATGTGGATTCATTGCGCGTCCTGGACGTGGCTGTGTCGGAGGTGCAGACGGACAATCAGCAGCAATCACACCGGGACAATGCTCAAGGGCTCCGGGAATGGATACAGAACCGGCTCCTCCTCGAGACCATTCCTCCCGAGTCTGTCCTGCTTGTGAGTGACGGGCAGTGGAGGGACCATCACAGAGGGTGCCATTTTCTATTGATTTAACCTACAATCATCCGTGTGTTCTCTATGTATGATCAGATCCTCTTCAGTGCGCATCAGACCCTCCGTCGATCTAATCCTCTCGGTCAACAAGACATGTCAGACTCAGAGGGTGACGTCCATACACGTTTGTTGCAGTCGTCATAGTCACGCAGATCGGAGCACGTCACAGGACTCTCTCTATCGGAGACAGCCACTTTGTCCTTAGCGTGTGCGTCTGCCCGCTGAATATCAACAGCTCGTCTTGATCGACCCAGGGAATTGTCCTGCAATAACTCGCAGTGAACGAAAAGCCACGGTATGTCAGCAGCCGACCCGTTGCCATGCCTGAGGGCTGGAATGAACACCAAAGCCGAGCAAAGGAAAGCAAGCCCACCTTCCTGCCACCAATCGATAAAGGACAGCTGGTAGGGGGGAGTGACCTCGGTTTCTTTCAAAATCGATTGATCGCAGTCACGATCTGGGAAGAGGAACGTCAGATTCGCCAGGACTGAAAAGGATTCGAGCCACTAACGCAGACCAATCAAACGTCACAGAGTCCGCCGATACTGTCGCAGTTTCAGATCCTCCGTTCGTGTGGCCCACGCATTGCGCCGTGCAAGGTGTCATACAAGTCCAGATGCTCCGCCCCCAGCCGGCAGTCATGGTGGTAATCGTTGTACTGGTTTTGTTGCTGAGGATGCAGCTGCGACCGAGGAGACTATTGCTGATAGTGTTTTGATAAAGACGCTGTGATGCGTTCATGTGCACGGTCTCAGGGTAGAGCCTCCAGACTGGGTAAGGTGCGTACGCCCATGGAGGCATTCCAGTTCACTGCGTGTTACGAGGACAAAGGCGAGGAGGAGAATGTAGCCGGCCGCTGATGTCGCTGTCGCTGTCGCTTCTGCGGTTCCTCGTTAAGTGGACCGAGTCGCCTGGTGCGCCAGTCGAAACACCCTGTGTGGCGAAGCCAGGGGAGCATAAGATCGTTCATGATGTTGTTGACGTTGTTGCTGCTGCCGCCGCCACATTCGAAGCTCTCCTGACGTATCTCTCGCTCATGGCAAAAGTGAAACCGTTCCTCGTGCTGCCGCTGTTGGTACTCCTTCTCCTCTTGCTGCTGCTAGTACTGATACTGTGCCATGTAGCAATCTCTCATACTAGCCTTGGATCTGTGCATTCAGCGGGACATCGAAGCCATTCAGCTCGCTGAGCAAGCTTGAATGCACAACCGCGAGCGACGAAATGTCCGTGAAATGCTGCTTGGGCGAATCCGATAACGAGCGCCAGAAAGGTGGTGCTTTGGTCGGCTTGGCTATCATCGTCAATGTATACGTCTTCCCGCTGAAGACCTTCTCGACCAAAGTCGACTCGAAGATGATATCTGGAATCATCACTGCAGCGCTGTTGCGCGATTCTTGACAGACGCCGTGCCCGTTTTTTCAGCCGCTGGGCGATCGGCACGAGCTTGACTGCCCCAGAACAAGGGCATGTCCACATGAGACAGTATGATCTGTGAGCGTTTGAGCTGAAGAGACGGACAGACAGTCGCAAAAGACTACTCACTAACGTGGAGCAAGCATGCGCCAACAGCACCGAGAAGCGAGCAATCTCAGACCAAAGCACTTGGAACTGCTTCAGAACGGAAACTAGTCGTCATGCTCTCTCGTAGGGAGCCAGAACAACAGCGCATAGGAGCTCTTCATAGGATCATCCGAATGGTTACAGATGGATGGAATGTGCGCAGAAGCATTGGCGAGCTTAGACAAGCGCTGGACGTGTTGGTGTGGATTAGACAGACACGCGTGTTAACTCAGCCCACGCACAAAAATGTCGAAACATAGTCGACATCCACTCCCTCGTGAATGCAATCCCATCTTGAGTGACGAGCCTGAAGATTGTGGGGTGGCGCCCTTCTCGACCAGGGACTGCTCGACGTCTTGTAGTAGCTCGCAGCAACAAAAGGCGGGGAGAATCTTGCCAGCGCCTACGAGCCGCAATGAAATCCGAAACAGAGCAGACACGAGCAAGTCTACTCACCTGCCAGCAATCGGTGATGAGCAACCCCCAGAGGAGAACGTGCTGTTTCAGAGATCGGGTGCTTTCAAATCCCATCCAGAACAGTTACGGTCTGGGAAATGGAACGTCAGATTCCGCGAGACCGGGGAGTATGCAATCCACTGACACAAATGATTCTAATACGACATAATCGGACAATGAAACTGAAGTGCGGGGCATTGACTTGTGCTTTGTGCCCGTTTCGTAGACAGCCCGAAGGTGGCCCAGGTGCCCCCGATGCTGTTTTCTGCAGCACATAGGCCCTCGAATGTCGCCATCAACGCCAGCCTCTGCACGGTTGCGGCGCTTGGGAGCCCTCCAAAACGGGATCGAGTGTCCAGGACGCCTGAGCAAGCATGTCAGGGTGCTTTGAATCTCGCGCCACTTTCCGCCGTATACGGATCGTACGTGGCAGAGAACGGCAGCACCGAAGCACATGATAGCGCAGATGAACGCGAGGGCGTAAGCAACAAGGATTTGGGGTGGACTGCCCCATCGTGTCGATTGCTTCAGTGCATCGGGCATCGACGGCTGCATCTGGTCTTCCAGTCGAGTTCGACGACGTGAGAGTGTGGAAGGATCACGGCGCATGCGCCAAGTATAACTCGTCCAGACGCGCTGCCTCCAAGTATGATGGGGAACAACCGGTCAAAAAGTGGGAGTCCATGCCCGACGCGTCAGTTTGCTTACTGCATTCGAGTCTTGTGACAAGCCTCACGTGGTATGAATACATACGTTCCTTCAGACCACCCAGACTGAAAGGCGTTTGTACGCAAACGGTTTTGGGTCGGTGAGAACGACATATCCCTAAGAACTGGTTTGCACCCACCTTCACTGATAATCAAGATGTCCATCTGATATTGCTGCAGACCGCACCCCAGGGACCTCCAATTATTACGTAAAATGGCTTCGAGGCCCCCTCCGGAGGCCATCAAACCACCCCCTACCCCCCCTGATCGGAGGCCATCCTGGAGGCGCCTTCCTAATTGGGACGCTGCCTGGCCATTTGTCCACCGCTTGCATGGTATGCTAGGGATCGGCCTGAGTGCTGATATATGCTGTAGTAGTCATTATAAAGCCTCAGACAATGTCTGACCTCTCAAAAGCATGTATTTCTTGCTTGCAAATGGCAGACCACTGGGTGCACAAAATTTGGGATCTGAGTATGTGAGCACTCCTCAGGTGCATAGAGCAACAGTATATGTATTAATTCAAGATTGAGCATGAGGTAGCTGTGCCCACACGCAAAAAATGAGATGTTGCTGAAGGGATGGTTTATGGCCTCCACGACCTCCCAGGTGCAGAAAAAAAGGTGTTGGGTAGCCCACAGGCCCTTGAATTCCGCTTCAATAGAACAATTTGATGCTTATGCTTTGTCAAAACAACAGCTCAGCATATAAATTGGATGTTGGAGCAGTGGCAGAACAAGCCTCCACCACCTCCAGGGCTGGGGATCAAAAGCGGTTACTGTAGATTTAGCCACACAAACTGTGTTCATGACATTATTTATCTTCATTGAGATGCACAGGATCCTTTAGAGTGATAGCTCAACATGTGAATTGGATGCTAGAGCAGATTACAGAAAGGCTCTCCACAGCCTCCACAGCCAGGGACTAAAAGCAGTTTCTTTGGATTTAGCAGCAGAAACTATGTGTTCAATGTCAGGTGTCTTATTTGAATGCCAAGGGTCCTCTATGGAGACAGCTCAGCATATGAATCAGATGCTGGAGCAAATGGCAGAACTGGCCTCCACCGCCTCCACAGGTTATTACTTGAAGAGTTGGGATGAGATGACAATGTAACAGACAGATATTCTCCTGGCTGACCACATTCTGTCATTTCCACCTCTAAATGCGAGTTGAATTGCTGCAGAATGTTAAAATGAGAGAATGGGGGACCCTGGAGGCGCTGGAGGCACATGCAAGATCCAATCAATATCATCAATATCATCAATGCCATCAATAGCATCAATAGCATCACCAATCATTGGTAGATTGATCAGCCAATCAGATGATGAATAAACATCGAACATCTAGTATATTCATTCCTGAGAGACACAGACTATATGTATGCTCATACTGAAAGTGGATTAGTGGTCCCAGGACATGCCCCAATGACATATTACATCCTTGTCTCAAGAACATATCATTGAAATTTGGATTTGGCAAATGAGCTGAAAGTACTCCACTGTACCACTCATCTTCAGTTGACTCTCAGTTCATTTGCAAACTCCGAATTTCAATGATATGTTCTTGAGACAAGGATGTAATATGTCATTGGGGCATGTCCTGGGACCACTAATCCACTTTCAGTATGAGCATACATATAGTCTGTGTCTCTCAGGAATGAATATACTAGATGTTCGATGTTTATTCATCATCTGATTGGCTGATCAATCTACCAATGATTGGTGATGCTATTGATGCTATTGATGGCATTGATGATATTGATGATATTGATTGGATCTTGCATGTGCCTCCAGCGCCTCCAGGGTCCCCCATTCTCTCATTTTAACATTCTGCAGCAATTCAACTCGCATTTAGAGGTGGAAATGACAGAATGTGGTCAGCCAGGAGAATATCTGTCTGTTACATTGTCATCTCATCCCAACTCTTCAAGTAATAACCTGTGGAGGCGGTGGAGGCCAGTTCTGCCATTTGCTCCAGCATCTGATTCATATGCTGAGCTGTCTCCATAGAGGACCCTTGGCATTCAAATAAGACACCTGACATTGAACACATAGTTTCTGCTGCTAAATCCAAAGAAACTGCTTTTAGTCCCTGGCTGTGGAGGCTGTGGAGAGCCTTTCTGTAATCTGCTCTAGCATCCAATTCACATGTTGAGCTATCACTCTAAAGGATCCTGTGCATCTCAATGAAGATAAATAATGTCATGAACACAGTTTGTGTGGCTAAATCTACAGTAACCGCTTTTGATCCCCAGCCCTGGAGGTGGTGGAGGCTTGTTCTGCCACTGCTCCAACATCCAATTTATATGCTGAGCTGTTGTTTTGACAAAGCATAAGCATCAAATTGTTCTATTGAAGCGGAATTCAAGGGCCTGTGGGCTACCCAACACCTTTTTTTCTGCACCTGGGAGGTCGTGGAGGCCATAAACCATCCCTTCAGCAACATCTCATTTTTTGCGTGTGGGCACAGCTACCTCATGCTCAATCTTGAATTAATACATATACTGTTGCTCTATGCACCTGAGGAGTGCTCACATACTCAGATCCCAAATTTTGTGCACCCAGTGGTCTGCCATTTGCAAGCAAGAAATACATGCTTTTGAGAGGTCAGACATTGTCTGAGGCTTTATAATGACTACTACAGCATATATCAGCACTCAGGCCGATCCCTAGCATACCATGCAAGCGGTGGACAAATGGCCAGGCAGCGTCCCAATTAGGAAGGCGCCTCCAGGATGGCCTCCGATCAGGGGGGGTAGGGGGTGGTTTGATGGCCTCCGGAGGGGGCCTCGAAGCCATTTTACGTAATAATTGGAGGTCCCTGGGGTGGCAGACCGTGTGAGCGCGGTGCTCCAGGGCCCACGAGATCTATCGTGGCCGGGTTCTAAGAGGGGAGTCGTGCTCTATATGACTGAGCATCTTATCGGGCATGATGATTTGACTCCAGGAAGAGCTGCAAGAGAAAAGACGATCACATCATATCACATGCGACAGGCGTGTTTGAGTCCACTCTCTCTCTTTTGAACCTATGCGTCTGGATGGATCTTCACGACTTCCCGTCTGCTCACTGAGACTCAGCAGCAACGGAGGGACACATGGGCGTCTCCTCGGACCGATGACATCTTCCTGGTGCCTGATGCAATCTGTTCATCTCCTGGGAGCGCCGATGAACTGCCATGCCCTGGGATACAGTACGCCGCCGGCCAATCTTCGTCCGGGCTTGTGTTGGCTTCCTTGAGCGCTTGTCTCTGAGCCCGCCACTCTGGCGTTGGGCGCTTGGTGGCTGTGAACCGTGGCATCACTCCAGCGCGGCCGGGTGTATTGAGAAACGCCGCGCGCTGATGCATCAAAGTGGTTCCCCTCTTGCTTTTGGCCATGTCACAAGCTGACGAAAAACAGACTGACAAACGAAACAAAGATGAAGAGCGTCTCGAGCGTGAGAGGGCTAGCGGGAACAAACTCTGGGGGGTCTACATCTCCGAGGCGGAGAAGTACGATCAGGGTCTCATCGATGGCTGGCGCAGCGACATGGATGGTCTGCTGATCTTCGTGCGTCTCCGCCCTTTCTCAATCCCGGTCTCTCTCTGAAGCTGACTCTCAGGCCGGTCTCTTCTCGGGCGTTGTCACTACATTGATCATCGATAGCTACAAGACACTAAGCCCGGACTTGGGCAGCCAGACCGTCGCACTCCTCACTCATATCTCACTCCAGCTTGCGAACATGCACAACAGCACGGCAGTGACAGACGCACTCC